TCTCTCTCCCCGTGTCTCTCTCCCCCCGTGTCTCTCTCTCCCCGTGTCTCTCTCCCCCGTGTCTCTCCTCCCCGTGTCTCTCTCCCCGTGTCTCTCTCCCCCGTGTCTCTCTCTCCCCGTGTCTCTCTCCCCGTGTCTCTCTCCCCCGTGTCTCTCTCCCCCGTGTCTCCTCCTCCCCCCGTGTCTCTCCCCCCGTGTCTCCTCCCCCGTGTCTCTCCTCCCCATGTCTCTCTCCCCGTGTCTCTCTCCCCCGTGTCTCTCTCCCCCGGTCTCTCTCCCCCGTGTCTCTCTCCCCGTGTCTCTCTCCCCCGTGTCTCTCTCCCCGTGTCTCTCTCTCCCCGTGTCTCTCTCTCCCCGTGTCTCTCTCTCCCCGTGTCTCTCTCTCCCCGTGTCTCTCTCCCCGTGTCTCTCTCCCCGTGTCTCTCTCTCCCCGTGTCTCTCTCTCCCCGTGTCTCTCTCTCCCGTGTCTCTCTCCCCGTGTCTCTCTCTCCCGTGTCTCTCTCTCCCCGTGTCTCTCTCTCTCCCGTGTCTCTCTCCCCAGTGTCTCTCTCTCCCCGTGTCTCTCTCCCCAGTGTCTCTCTCTCCCCGTGTCTCTCTCTCTCCCCGTGTCTCTCTCTCTCCCCGTGTCTCTCTCTCCCCGTGTCTCTCTCTCCCCGTGTCTCTCTCTCCCGTGTCTCTCTCTCCCCGTGGTCTCTCTCTCCCCGTGTCTCTCTCTCCCCGTGTCTCTCTCTCCCCGTGTCTCTCTCTCCCCGTGTCTCTCTCTCCCCGTGTCCTCTTCTCCCCCCGTGTCTCTCTCTCCCCGTGTCTCTCTCTCCCCGTGTCTCTCTCTCCCCGTGTCTCTCTCCCCCCTGTGTCTCTCTCTCTCTCCCAATGTCTCTCTCCCGTGTCTCTCTCTCCCCGTGTCTCTCTCTCCCCGTGTCTCTCTCCCCGTGTATCTCTCTCCCCGTGTCTCTCTCCCCGTGTCTCTCTCCCGTGTCTCTCTCTCCCCGTGTCTCTCTCCCCCGTGTCTCTCTCCCCGTGTCTCTCCTCCCCGTGTCTCTCTCCCCGTGTCTCTCCCCCGTGTCTCTCTCTCACCCCGTGTCTCTCTCTCCCCGTGTCTCTCTCTCCCCGTGTCTCTCTCTCCCCGTGTCTCTCTCTCCCCGTGTCTCTGTCTCTCCCCGTGTCTCTCTCTCCCCGTGTCTCTCTCTCCCCGTGTCTCTCTCCCCGTGTCTCTCTCTCCCCGTGTCTCTCTCTCCCCGTGTCTCTCTCTCCCCGTGTCTCTCTCTCCCCGTGTCTCTCTCCCCGTGTCTCTCTCTCCCCGTGTCTCTCTCTCCCCGTGTCTCTCTCCCCCGTGTCTCTCTCTCCCCGTGTCTCTCTCTCCCCGTGTCTCTCTCTCCCCTTGTCTCTCTCCCCGTGTCTCTCTCCCCGTGTCTCTCTCTCCCCGTGTCTCTCTCTCCCCGTGTCTCTCTCCCCGTGTCTCTCTCTCCCCGTGTATCTCTCTCCCCGTGTCTCTCTCTCCCCGTGTGTCTCTCTCTCCCCGTGTCTCTCTCTCCCCGTGTCTCTCTCTCCCCGTGTCTCTCTCTCCCCGTGTCTCTCTCCCCGTGTCTCTCTCTCCCCGTGTCTCTCTCTCCCCGTGTCTCTCTCCCCGTGTCTCTCTCTCCCCGTGTCTCTCTCTCCCCGTGTCTCTCTCTCCCCGTGTCTCTCTCTCCCCGTGTGTCTCTCTCTCCCCGTGTCTCTCTCCCCGTGTCTCTCTCTCCCCGTGTCTCTCTCTCCCCGTGTCTCTCTCTCCCCGTGTGTCTCTCTCTCCCCGTGTCTCTCTCCCCGTGTCTCTCTCCCCGTGTCTCTCTCTCCCCGTGTCTCTCTCCCCGTGTCTCTCTCTCCCCGTGTCTCTCTCTCCCCGTGTCTCTCTCTCCCCGTGTCTCTCTCTCCCCGTGTCTCTCTCTCTCCCCGTGTCTCTCTCTCCCCGTGTCTCTCTCTCCCCGTGTCCTCTCTCCCCGTGTCCCTCTCTCTCCCCGTGTCTCTCTCCCCGTGTCTCTCCCCCCGTGTCTCTCTCTCCCCGTGTCTCTCTCTCCCCCGTGTCTCTCTCTCCCCGTGTCTCTCTCTCCCCGTGTCTCTCTCTCCCCGTGTCTCTCTCTCCCCGTGTCTCTCTCCCCGTGTCTCTCTCTCCCCGTGTCATCTCTCTCCCCGTGTCTCTCTCTCCCGTGTCTCTCTCTCCCCGGTGTCTCTCTCTCCCCGTGTCTCTCTCCCCGTGTCTCTCTCTCCCCGTGTCTCTCTCCCCGTGTCTCTCTCTCCCCGTGTCTCTCTCTCCCCGTGTCTCTCTCTCCCCGTGTCTCTCTCTCCCGTGTCTCTCTCTCCCCGTGTCTCTCTCTCCCCGTGTCTCTCTCCCCGTGTCCCTCTCCCCGTGTCCTCTCTCTCCCCGTGTCTCTCTCTCCCCGTGTCTCTCACCCCGTGTCTCTCTCCCCCGTGTCTCTCTCTCCCCGTGTCTCTCTCCCCCGTGTCTCTCTCTCCCCGTGTCTCTCTCTCCCCGTGTCTCTCTCTCCCCGTGTCTCTCTCTCCCCGTGTCTCTCTCCCCGTGTCTCTCTCCCCGTGTCTCTCTCTCCCCGTGTCTCTCCCCCCGTGTCTCTCTCTCTCCCCGTGTCTCTCTCTCCCCGTGTCTCTCTCTCCCCGTGTCTCTCTCTCCCCGTGTCTCTCTCCCCGTGTCTCTCTCCCCGTGTCTCTCTCTCCCCGTGTCTCTCTCTCCCCGTGTCTCTCTCTCCCCGTGTCTCTCTCTACCCGTGTCTCTCTCTCCCCGTGTCTCTCTCTCCCCGTGTCTCTCTCTCTCCCCGTGTCTCTCTCCCCGTGTCTCTCTCTCCCCGTGTGTCTCTCTCTCCCCGTGTCTCTCTCCCCGTGTCTCTCTCCCCGTGTCTCTCTCTCCCCGTGTCTCTCTCTCCCCGTGTCTCTCTCCCCGTGTCTCTCTCTCCCCGTGTCTCTCTCCCCGTGTCTCTCTCTCCCCGTGTCTCTCTCCCCGTGTCTCTCTCTCCCCGTGTCTCTCTCTCCCCGTGTCTCTCTCTCCCCGTGTCTCTCTCCCCGTGTCTCTCTCTCCCCGTGTCTCTCTCTCCCCGTGTCTCTCTCTCCCCGTGTGTCTCTCTCTCCCCGTGTCTCTCTCCCCGTGTCTCTCTCCCCGTGTCTCTCTCTCCCCGTGTCTCTCTCCCCGTGTCTCTCTCTCCCCATGTCTCTCTCTCCCCGTGTCTCTCTCTCCCCGTGTCTCTCTCTCCCCGTGTCTCTCTCTCCCCGTGTCTCTCTCCCCGTGTCTCTCTCTCTCCCCGTGTCTCTCTCTCTCCCGTGTCTCTCTCTCTCCCCGTGTCTCTCTCCCAGTGTCTCTCTCTCCCCGTGTCTCTCTCTCCCCGTGTCTCTCTTCCCCGTCTCTCTCTCCCCGTGTCTCTCTCTCCCCGTGTCTCTCTCCCCGTGACTCTCTCCCTGTGTCTCTCTCTCCCCGTGTCTCTCTCTCCCCGTGTCTCTCTCTCCCCGTGTCTCTCTCTCTCCCCGTGTCTCTCTCTCCCCGTGTCTCTCTCCCCGTGTCTCTCCCCCCGTGTCTCTCTCTCCCCGTGTCTCTCCCCGTGTCTCTCTCTCCCCGTGTCTCTCTCTCCCCGTGTCTCTCTCTCCCCGTGTCTCTCTCTCCCCGTGTCTCTCTCTCCCCGTCTCTCTCTCCCCGTGTCTCTCTCTCCCCGTGTCTCTCTCCCCGTGACTCTCTCCCTGTGTCTCTCTCTCCCCGTGTCTCTCTCTCCCCGTGTCTCTCTCTCCCCGTGTCTCTCTCTCCCCGTGTCTCTCTCTCCCCGTGTCTCTCTCCCCGTGTCTCTCCCCCCGTGTCTCTCTCTCCCCGTGTCTCTCTCCCCCCGTGTCTCTCTCTCCCCGTGTCTCTCTCTCCCCGTGTCTCTCTCTCCCCGTGTCTCTCTCTCCCCGTGTCTCTCTCCCCGTGTCTCTCTCCCCGTGTCTCTCTCTCCCCGTGTCTCTCCCCCCGTGTCTCTCTCTCTCCCCGTGTCTCTCTCTCCCCGTGTCTCTCTCTCCCCGTGTCTCTCTCTCCCCGTGTCTATCTCCCCGTGTCTCTCTCCCCGTGTCTCTCTCTCCCCGTGTCTCTCTCTCCCCGTGTCTCTCTCTCCCCGTGTCTCTCTCTACCCGTGTCTCTCTCTCCCCGTGTCTCTCTCTCCCCGTGTCTCTCTCTCTCCCCGTGTCTCTCTACCCGTGTCTCTCTCTCCCCGTGTGTCTCTCTCTCCCCATGTCTCTCTCCCCGTGTCTCTCTCCCCGTGTCTCTCTCCCCGTGTCTCTCTCTCCCCGTGTCTCTCTCCCCGTGTCTCTCTCTCCCCGTGTCTCTCTCTCCCCGTGTCTCTCTCTCCCCGTGTGTCTCTCTCTCCCCGTGTCTCTCTCCCCGTGTCTCTCTCCCCGTGTCTCTCTCTCCCCGTGTCTCTCTCTCCCCGTGTGTCTCTCTCTCCCCGTGTGTCTCTCTCTCCCCGTGTCTCTCTCCCCGTGTCTCTCTCCCCGTGTCTCTCTCTCCCCGTGTCTCTCTCCCCGTGTCTCTCTCTCCCCATGTCTCTCTCTCCCCGTGTCTCTCTCTCCCCGTGTCTCTCTCTCCCCGTGTCTCTCTCTCCCCGTGTCTCTCTCCCCGTGTCTCTCTCTCTCCCCGTGTCTCTCTCTCTCCCCGTGTCTCTCTCTCTCCCGTGTCTCTCTCTCTCCCCGTGTCTCTCTCCCAGTGTCTCTCTCTCCCCGTGTCTCTCTCTCCCCGTGTCTCTCTCTCCCCGTCTCTCTCTCCCCGTGTCTCTCTCTCCCCGTGTCTCTCTCCCCGTGACTCTCTCCCCGTGTCTCTCTCTCCCCGTGTCTCTCTCTCCCCGTGTCTCTCTCTCTCCCCGTGTCTCTCTCTCCCCGTGTCTCTCCCCCCGTGTCTCTCTCCCCGTGTCTCTCTCTCTCCCCGTGTCTCTCTCTCCCCGTGTCTCTCTCTCCCCGTGTCTCTCTCTCCCGTGTCTCTCTCTCCCCGTCTCTCTCTCTCCCACCTCTCCCCCAGGTAGTTCCCAATGGCCGTCTTGTTGAGGCCCTCTCCACCGTGCAGGAATTCCGCCACGTGTGGTGCCGTGTGTAGCAGCAGTCCACACTCCTCCAGGTACACAATGCCCTGTTACATCAACAACAACAACATCAACTACAACAACTACTACAACATCAACTACATCAACTACAACATTAACAACAACTACAACTACAACATTAACAACAACATCAACAAAAACTACAACAACAACCACTACAA